CTCTTGAGATTTCTCTTTGACTAATGTGTTATGTAGAAGTATATCGTTTAATCTCCACATAATTTGGGATTTCCAGTTATTTTTCTGTTATCGATTTCTGGGTTAATTCTATTGTGATCTGAGAGGAGACATTGTATGATAGCTATTCTTTTAAATTTGTTAAGGTGCTTTTTATGGCCCAGAATGTGGTATATCTTGGTGAATATTCCACGTGATCTTGAAAGGAATATGTATTTTGCTACTGTTAGATGAAGTAGTCTATAGATGTCAAGTATATCCGGTTGATTGATGGTGTTGAGTTCAACTCATATCCTGACTGATTTTCTGCCTGCTGGATCTGTCCATTTCTGATAGAGGGGTGTTGAAGTCTCCATCTATGATAATGGATTTATCTATTTCTCCTGGTAGTTCTATCAGTTTTTGCTTCAGGTAGTTTGACACGCTGTTGTTAGGTGCATACATATTAAGGATTGCTATGCCCCATCAAAGGCATTCTTCATTTCTATGTGTTTTTTATTTCTAGCATTTCTTTTTGTTTTTTTCATGGGACTTCCATCTCTCTGCTTACATTTCCCATCTGTTCTTGCATGCTATTTTATCCATTAGAGTTCTTGCATGCTAATTTATCCATTAGAGCCCTTAGCATATTAATCATAATTGTTTAAAATTCCTAGTCTGATAATTTCAACATCCTTGCTATGTCTGGTTCTGATGCTTGCTCTCTTTTCTGCCTTTTGGTATGCTTTGTAATTTTTTCTTGATAGCCGGATGTGATGTACCCGGTAAAAGAAACTGCTATAAACAGACTTTTAATAATGTGGTGGTAAGGTGTGGTGGGGAGGGGACACATTCTATAGTTCTGTGATTAGGTCTACTTCTAGTGAGCCTGTGTACCTCTGGACTGTGAACTTCACAAGTGCTTCCCAGTTTCCTCCCCTGCTTTTAGGTGGGATAGGCTGGTAGAATGATCTGAAGTTGGATATTTCCCTTCTCCAAGTCAGTTAGGGTCTGATAATACCTTAGCAGTTTAGGATCTGCTTAACTAGCTATCCCTGAGGGCAGGCCTTGTTAAGAAGAATAGAGGGCTTTGCAATATTTCAAAATAGTTCTTTTTTCTCTCCCCCTGCCAGTAGCCCAAAGAGATTTCTCATTGATATTTATTGTGGGAACCTGGTTGAGTTTTTGGAGCTAACTCTCACAATATTGTGCCCACACCCCCTTGACTGGGTCCCCTTGGATTATTTAACTCTCTGCGTTGTCCACATGAACCTCCAGCAATTTGTCAATTACAATTCAGGTTTTCCTACCCTGGCACTGGTTCCTATAGAGGTTTCTGCTTCTAATTCTTGACTGGGATAAGACTTGCTATATTTGCATGTCTGTCTCTCTGATTTTGGGGGCAGCAGTTTACCCTGTGTCCTTCCTTCTGTCATGGATCCAAAGATGGCTGTTGATTTCTCAGTCTGTTCAGCTTTGAACTTGTTAGGATAGAGTGGCAACTTCTAAGTTCCTTACGTGCAGAACTGCTATATGTAGTATAGATAGAGAACTCACATATATCCATAAGAAAAAAGATACCCCCCCCCCAAATAAGCTAAATTTACGAACAGGATTCTTAGAAGAGGAAACCCAGATCCTCCTAAAAATATGTGAAATGATCATTCTCTCTGGTAATTGGGGAATGCAAATGTAAACCACAATGAAACAGGATTTCATTTACACCAGAATGATGGTAATATTAGTTATGTCAGTACCTTGTGAAAAGTCAGTTGTCAAAAAAATTCCACTTAGTTATAGGTGGTTTCAATTAAGGAGGAAGAAGCCAGTATAATAGAATTGGTCAAACACGGAGTTAGGATTATCCCAATTAACTATGATGCTATTTCTTGGGTGTACCTTTTAGGTGACCAATGCAAGACTATTATTTTTTTTCTAAATAGCCAAGTCAAGGAAGTTTGTCATTCCCTGGATGACTCCTATCTTGAAACCATGGAAATATGACAGTCATTCACACTAGTCAGACTAGTTCCGTCTTATTTGTTCTCTACATTTCACCCAGCCCATATAAACAAACGAATCAACACTGGATGTAGCACATAAACCTATGAAACATCGGTCACCTTAAAAGCTACACCAGAAGGTCTTTATTTTTGTTATCACTATCATCGTTGTCAACATCATCATCATCATCACTGTTGTCCCTGACACCACCTCGACAATCAGATATTATGTACAGGTAAATGGGATTTTATTTGGGAGATTAAGTCTACAAAAGCTAACAAGTTGCTACAGAGTATCTTCTAGCTTTTTGTTAAATGATTGCTTTCTATAATTTAGATTTTTATTTCTGGACAGTGTCAAGAAACATGATATTGTTTCTGAGGTCTGAAGTCTCTAGGAAAGTTTCAGAAAGCTGGAAAAAAAGAATCAGATTTCAGCAAAATTTTGCATACCTTTTTTTATAACCATTCATAAGAACCCTACCATTTTTATTCTCTAGTAATGTAATTGAAATCATACTTTTTAATATAAAATTTTTAGAAATTAAAAGCTCTGAATGCCTGTATAGATTTCTGAAATAATGTACTTTACAACATGTATTCTGAATTAGCAGCTGGCAAACTGCAGGGGGTCCTCAAAACTTCATAGATTTTCAAATGAGTTCCCTTCTATATGCTATCTGCTTCCCAAGAGTTCCAGGAGAAAGTCACAGGCGGAGGCCATTCAACTCCTTTGATCATTAATTTCTCTATTCCTTATTCACAACTCTCTCCCTAGTGATTTAAAGTCCTCTCTCTCTATATATATATAAAAGGTTTATCTTTATAAAATTTGGGGAATTTTGCACTGGAATCTTGCATTATCACTCTCCACTATGTAACAGAATTCAGGAGAATCTAATTTAAATGGTCTGTAAGTGAAGTTGAATAAATGAAAATAATAGTTTGCTATGCTTTGTAGTTTAATTGGTAATGTAATATCAAAACGTGGTTATAAGGAAATCTAATCTAGGAGTCGATACCTGGTATGGACTGGGAGTATAAATTATAGTGAGATTGATGTTTTAGAATTGTGAATAATGTAGTTACCATCATTTTTATGAACATTATTATTGTAATTTGATTAAAGTGAATGAATGATTATGACAGAACAGCAATGAGCCCTTACTTGAAGTAGATTCACTCCAAAAGTGAGGCAATTATGGTTTTGTTAAGTATATGGAGTTGGTTAAATTCATTGAAATTTAATTTTTAACTTATTGTCTTTGTTAAATGAAGGGTTCTTCCTGGAATGTAAATTCCTACCTTTAGAAAAAAACTATGGCCAAAAATTAATGTGGTAAATGAAAGAGTAAATTGTTTTAAGAATGGAAGTTTTTCGATATTTAGAAAATAATTTTAAAAATTTCAGCTGTTATTCAAAAATAGTATTCAATTCCTAGATTCCATGCATTACATTTACTAAAGGAAAGGTTGAGTAAATCATAAACTACAGTGATCTTTTAGATATAAAAGAATCTCCTTAATTGTTTATGGCAAGAAGAAATCCATAATGAGGAGAAAAAAGCCATATCAATGCTATAGTCAACAATATGTGTTCTTTAGAACTTTCCAGAGCATCTAAAAGGGGATTTCAAAGAAAAGCATTTGTAAGGAGTAATGTAGTGATTATTTGTATAGAAAACATCTCAGCCACTTTAGAATCACTACTTAGGGTATGTAATGTTTGAATCCTGCAAACTAATATGCATGTTTCAGAAACACTAAGCTACCAGAGTGTTACAACTGTCTAATACAAAACAAAGTTGAGACCTCACCATCACTGTGAACTTTTCTAGTCATTAGAAGAAACATGTCATCAGATATTAATAATGTTATAAATATTGTTGTTGGTTACATACTCATTGAAAGTGTGATTCATCTAGTATGAGAAACACTGTGCCTATAGCCTTTTTGCTCTGAGGATGAGATTAAACAGCAGAATTACAGTATGAAAGGATTCATGGAATGTATCTGAAATAGGGAGTTTCTTTGAAGAGCTCTGACAAATAATGTTGGTCCTGGGAGAAACTAATTAACAAGTCATCAAAAGAAGAATAAGGAAGAGGTAGGATTAAGAACAGAGAACAGAACAAAGAGGAGAAAAGACTGGGTGGAGTTGCACAGTAGCGGCATAAGGTAGTCTTTTTTTTTTCAAGAAGAACTTCTGTAGATAAAAATCACTTGATCCAAAAAGATTCTCATATTCATAGAGAATATCTAATCTGCTAAATATATCTGCTGAATACACACTCTTCTGTTTTGCGAGTTTTTTTTTTTAAGATAATGCAGAATGGAAAGAGATTGAAGAAACAGCTGAGGTTATTTTGAAATTTGAAATCAGATTTTTTTGTGTGGATGTTACAGCTCTTCCTCCAAATGGGCAATTTCATGACATCATGTCTTTGAAGATATGGAGAATAACTAGTGTCCAAACCTTACATAGATTAGACTAAGGGTGGCCGTAACACCTAATAGTAACCCTAGACCACTCTATCTGTATGATGCCAAGTCACATCATTTTCTGATTACTTTTTGTTTAATTGATTGGTTTTGTTAATGAAACTTACCTACCTGTTAATTTATATTATACAAATAATCCATGTTTATTGTAGAAACATTAGAAAATATAGTTAGGGAAAAAATAAACAAAAAAGAAAAATCTACCCATAATCTTATAACATGGGATAACTGCAGTTGACATCATGATGTTTCTTTCCACATTTAATTAAATATATAAATGATATTATATTATATATTTGTGTTTATAAATTTATATATGTCCAAGTACATGATGTGGCTAGAGTTTACAAAAATACAATCAGACCATACTTAATGTTTTGTAACCTGCTTTAGGTAAGTAAAAAGAGCAAATAAGTTTCTCCTCAGGAACACGAAAACAGAAAACCATGTCTATTTTGCTCAGTGCTATATCCCCAGCATGTAAAATAGTACTCAAATATGATTTATTCAATGAATGAGCATCAGGGTCTCTCCTCTTGGAGGCATTTGAGGTGAGTATGTTTTAAGCTAACATAATGGCCTAATGTATAAATTATAAATCATGTTGTATGTGTTGGAGGAGAGACAGGTAGATTTAGAATGTCTGTCATCTGATTTGAGCCATTTTCCTCTTTTCATAGGCACGGCATATCTTCAGAGAGAAGATCTCGGCCACTATGGATGATGGTCCTTATTTTCCTTGGAGTGATGGCAATCTTGGGAGTAACTATTGGTCTCCTTGTTCATTTTCTGGCAGTTGGTCAGTATTGACTATTTTCAATTTTCACCATTATTACTAAATCTCCTTTTGCTTTTAGAAATTGACAAGGAACACCATGAATATTAAGTTTCTTCATGGAAATTTTATCTTCTACTTACTATCTTATTTCAACATCAAAATTCTCTATTATTTGACACCAAAGTTTATAAATTCTTTTGAATCAGATGCCTCCTTGATCCACACTATATCACTAGTTCTTGGAGTATGGGCAAGACTGAAATGCTCAATACTTTGATGCCAATATTTATTGTCAATAAAGAAGCTTATATAGTAGGTTTGTAGTTGAATTCTTACATCTTTTAGTAAATATACCTCAACTTTGGAGATCCCTAGTCTTCTTAGCTCAATTCTGGTATTGGTTGTTAAGATACAATTGGTAAGTAGCAATGTTGGATAATCCACAAATGGTTCTTCTAATAGTAGATAGTCAAGAGTGGTAGAATGGCTGAACCTTCATATAACTTGATCTTATTTTTAAAATTTTTATTAACACTGCACTCAGAAAGCTTGGTTTTTCCATTTATTTTTTCTTTCAGAAAAACGAACACTTAAATTTGTGTAACCATTTAATATTTTTAAATAATTTGACATGTGTTATTCTGCTTGATGCTCTAAATAATCCTTTGAGCTAGGGAGAGAAAGCTGTACTACTTTCTCTATTTTCACTTGGGAACGTAGGCTCAAGAAAGTTGAGTGACTTGCTTGATAGCATGGGCTTTTTAGTGGCATATCTGAGCACAAACCCAGAGCTTAATATTTGAAATGTATTATTCTACTTTATCATGATTTTTCTGAGTTTTATTCCTCTGAAACATATTATCTTATACAGGTATGCACTGTCTATAAATTTTTCCTGATTCAGTGACAATTCCAGTTTTTCTTTCTACCTGGTCTCTTCCACTTTGCTTTTCCTCAGTCATCTTGATTTCAAATTTCAAATTTCAAAACTTGTCCGTCAGAAGGGTAGCATATGCTCATAGTCTCTTTCCTGTCATGTCTATCCATGAACTTTCCACAGTATGGATCCTTCTGTTCTCTCCTTGACTCTACTCATTGAAACATGACATTCTTGGGCCAGCCCTGATGGTCTAGTGGTTAAAGTTCAGTGCTTTGACCACATCGGTGGCCTGGGTTCATTTCCTGGTTGTGGAACCACACCACTCCTCTCTCAGTTGCCATGCTGTGGCAAGAGTTCACATAGAAGAACTAGAAGGACTTACAACTAAGATATACAATCATGCACTAGGGGGCTTTGAGGAGGAAAAAAAAAGAGGAAGATTGACAACAGATGTTAGGCTCAGGGCAAATCCTTCCCTGCACAAAAAAAAAGATACACAAGTCCCTACACTTGTGTTGTTGAAAAAAAAATAACATTCTTCACCTAATTTCCTTAAGGTCAGTGCTCTAAGTTTACCGAATCAAGACCCTGTGAAGAAGTCCAGTAGCTTAATTAGTTACCCTTCCAAAATATAGTTTGAATTTTAACAAGTTATTCTTCTGGAGAAACAATGCATTAATGGACACGAATGAAGCCAAAGGGAGAACTACATCCTGGCTTGAGCAGGAAGTGTGTAGGACAAGAATTCATCCTTGGATTTCTCTACATGGTCAACCACCTACGTTTTCAGATACAAGGCTAGACAGGCTTACATTACTTGAAGTTAAATTAATAGAACTGGGCTCCTTGTGATATAAAAACGGATGCTCAAACTCTTGTTGTAAAAGATTGTTTAAAGTCAGTTTGAAAGATGGGTTTGCTCTAGGATTCTGGCTTAGGAACCAATATAATCTTTGTTAACATTGAGAGCAACCTGAGTTGGATGACAACTAGAGTAATCTCTCATTCAAGTGGTTTGAAATTACTTTCCCTGTCTGAACATATCTATTGTTTCTCAAGACATTTCTTTATTTTTGGATTTCTACTTCTTGTATTAACTCGGAGATTAATATTCCAGAAAGATCATTATTCTAGAAAGGACTTTGGTTCAGCTCTTTCATGTAACAAAACTATTTCCAAATTTTACATACACACTTATAAACAATTCTAAAATCCTTCAGATAGTTTATCTAATAGCTCAAAACTCTGGCTTCCCCTCAAAATCACTTGTGGAGCTCTTTTAAAGAAGTGCTCATTCCCTAGGCCCCACCTCAGTTTTTCTGATCCAGTGGGACTGGGGCAGGACCTGCTCATGTCTGCCTTTTAGAAGCTCTGTAGTGATTCTGATATATAGATAGTATTACAACCTATGAATCTAAAACAATGTTTTAGAAAGGTAATAAAGTATATTTCTATCTTAAGATAGAAGATTTTTATCATGAACTTTGGGATTGGGGGCAGATTATCATGTAAAGACTGACTGTTCCTATGTCTATAAAACTGAAAATCAGCCACAGTTTAGGGTATAAAGTAGATTTCCATTTAATTTATCTAAATTATTGTATTATTCAGTTCAGGCTGCCATGACAAAATACCACAGACCAGGTGGCTTAAACTCGGACATTTATTTTCTCACAGTTCTGGAAGCTGGAAGTCCAAGATCAAAGTGTCAGCAGAGCTGGTTTCTGTTGAGACCTCTCTTCCTGACTTGCAGAAGGCCGCCTTTTCGTTGTAGCCTCATATGAACTTTTCTTTGTATGCATACCGGGAGAGAAAGAAAGAGAGAGAGGTCTCCAGTGTCTCTTCCTCTTCTTAAAAGGACACCAGTCCTATTGAATTAGGCTCTCAACCTTATAATCTGATTTAGTCTTAATTACCTTGTTAAGGGTCTCATCTCCAGATACAGTCACATTGGGGGTTAGGGCTTCAACATAAGAAATTTAGGGATACACAACAAATTGTTTTGGTTCATAACAATATCAAGTGAAAATTAACTTAAAAATGGCACCTCAAATCAGTCCAATTTTCCAGTAGTATTATAACCAGAGTCATATATCGAAACACCATGGTTTTTTTAATAGGGGCATGATATACATGACTTTTGACAAATTAATCTGCTTACCTGTAAATACCTAAGTTCAGCACACTGGATGTAACTCAAAGTTAGCAGATTCTAGTTGTTTGATCTTCTATTTAGCAATAAACTTCACAGATTAAAAAGAGAGTCTTGGAGTTTATTTATTGCAATTTAGTCTTTATTAGTGAAAAAAAAAATCCCAGCAGGCTAAAGCAGTCTGCCAAGGTGGCACAGCCAGTTTATGGCAGGGCTTGAATGAGTTCCTCTAACTTCACATGCATTATTCTTTCCAGAATGACCTTGGGTAATTTGTTAGGCAGAACCTGACATTTGCTTTTCATATGCACTGGTTACCATGAGGGAAAATATAGGAAACTATAGGAATACAGGAAACTAATTTTTACTTTAGATTGAAATGATCCTTCTGACTTCCAGGACAATTAATTATTTCAGTTCAGAAATCACAGTTTTCAAAGTCTATTGTTAGCACTCGTTAGAGACCATGTGGTGCTTTTTAAGGTGGATCCAAAGCATAATCGTTCTCAAAATATATGAATGGCTAATTCCATATTGATTTCTATTTTTCAAAAGTACATATTTGACCTGGAAGAACTAACTCTAAGCTTGTCCTGTTGTAAATTATGGTGGCTTAGTATACCAGGTGAAGCAGTTTACATTTGGGGATGCGAAGGAATGGGGATGTGAGACCTTGTAACACACATCAAGCCCCAGGCACTATATGCTGTAGGGAAGTGGAAGGGCAGCACGACGCCCTGAAGGAACGACTTCGAAGGAGTGGAAGGCAGGCCGACAGGCAAAGGGGTATGAGAAATGGTACAAGAGCCTGTAGATCATCCAGAAAGTGAAGGAAGATGTTTGTAATGTTTCCTGTATCAGAACTGCTTAGAAAGATTAATTGCGCAATCACTAGGCTAAGGATTTAGATTATACATGAAAAATAGGTTTCATCTCTATTGCATACTCAGGTAAATTGCTATTGGCTGCCTAGATTGCTGTTTTGAGGAGGATGCTGAGGGGATCAGTGGCCTTAGCTGGACAGTGACGTCTATTATCAGACGAATGAAGTGGGGGAATCATTTCATGACTGCTGGGTAGTTGCCATTTCTAAAATAAGTGTATATTCATTCTCCTCCATTTCCCTCCTCTGATTTTCTCCCTCCCTCTCGTTATTTCCAAAGCTAGATCGAATGTTAATTTTGAGAGAAAAATATGGAAGCACTTGAGGCCACTTCCCCTTTTACAATGGAGTATGTCTTTATTTCACAGGAAAGACTTATTATTACCAAGGTGATTTTCATATTTCTGGAGTTACATACAATGATAGTTGTGAAAATGCAGCTTCACAAGCCAGTACAGATCTGAACAAAGATATTGAGACTAAGGTGAGTCAGAGATTTCTTTGATTAATTTCATTATAAATTTGATTGAAATAGACATGGCGGCTCTTTTGTTTTTTTCCTCTTGACAGATGTCCGATGCATTTCAAAATTCTAGTTTATACAAAGAATATACCAACTCGCAGGTCATCAAACTTCTGTAAGTACCAATTCATTCGGAATCTTATGGAAAGGGAAGTAGGTCGAATGTCACATCAGCCCTGGTTTTAAATAACAGCAAAAAAATAGAAAGAGAGAGAGAAAGACAGAGAGCGAAGGAAAGAAGGAAAGAAAGAAAAGAGAGAGAGAAAGAAAGAAAGAAAGAAAAAAGAATTCCCCGTAAATTAAAGTGTCATTGTATTTAGCAAATTTCTGTTCGGGGTAGGAACTGTTCCATACAAATCTATAATCTCCATACTTGAGAGGGAGAATTGCAAGGTTGTTGGTGGCAGTCTGTCTTAACTGACTTCTATGACGAAAGATAATTGTAACCCTATGGAAAACAAGGAGTCCAACCTGATTGTTTGGCTACCCTAATACTAGCCACCTCTTCTCTCATCCCTATCCATCTGGCCATACCTTTTCTAAAATAATTCTCTTTTGTCCTCTAGTCATTACCATCACTGTAATAACTGTGGAGCAAAGTGACTCACTTAAGATAACATTTGTCTAAAAATGTCTTTGAAGTGTGCTTGAGGGTGGTGGTGGTAGGAAGGGATGCAGGGCGGAGGGTATCATAGAAAACAGGCATGAGTGATAAAGAGAGAGAGGACTTATATTTTGGGCATTGTCAATATTTATTCTGGGGAATTCTGAACTTCCAAAACAAAACAAACAAAAAAATCCAGCTGGCCAAACAACCAACCAACCAACCAACCTACTTACCTACAGCTAAACAAAAACCTTCAAAGACCAATTGAAGAATCGATCATAATTATTTGAAAATAGTTGTGGGTTTTTAAAAAGTTGTGATTAATATGGCTTTTGGTCTGAAAATCTTCCAAAATGAATTAATCTCCTTTCCTGATTAATAAAAAGAATGTACTGAAAATATAGCTAATGGAGATTATTCCCATGCCTTAGTGTTATCTTTCTGAGCTTTCTCCTTGTACAGATCTATTGGAGTAGACATGTATAAGAAACTATAGAAAGAAGCTTAGTAGTGGCTCTTGAATATATGCTAGGAGTTATCTTTTGAATGCTTCTCGTTCCTGCATTTAAACTCTCATTTACTTCTTTCTCTAAGATTAAGTAATAGAAAATATCTGTACAAGAACAGAGTTTTTACTGTGTCATAATAAAATCTCATGCTAATCATTTGTTGGCTAGTCCTCAGTTTCTTATATGTATTTGAAATACTTGGATTAGTTTGTGATTCACATCTTCCATGAACAATTCCTCAGAATCAGTCAGAAGATCTTCAGGAACCCTTGCACTTTATACATACTGGGACAATATCTGAGCATTGTTCTGTAATATATGTAAAGGACATATGATAAGTGAAATGTGGGAAATTCAATGTGTTCACAAAATATCTAAAAAAATCAAGAAGCAACACACTAGAACGTTTCTGTTGTTTCTAGTCCTTATCTCAGTGGCTCCAGTGTACAGTTACAGCTGACATTCAAGTTTCCTCCAGCAAAGAGGGATAGAATGAAGACTGAAATCGAAGCTATCTTACATCAGATATTGAAAGACAACATGGCATCCTGGAATGCAGTTCCCACTTCCATTAAACTTATAGGTATTTCACTTATTTCCATTATTTTCTATACTTAAGTTTCTGAATTATTATTTTTCTTTTTCTTTTTTTTTCTGGTGAGGAAGATTTGCCCTGAGCTAACATCTGTGCCAATCTTCCTCTCTTTTGTATGTGTGATACCTCCAAAGCATGGCTGATGAGTGAAGTAGGTCCACACTCATGATCTAAACCTGTAAACCTGGGACTGCCAAAGCAGAGCATGCAGAAATTTAACCACTCAACCATGAGGCCGGCACCCTATGGACTATTTTTTAAAAAAGTAATAGGAAAAAAAAATGAACCAAGAGTTTAAGGAATTTTCTGAGAAAAACATATGCTTTCCAAACTCTAGTATTCCTGCCAATGTAATGGAAAGGGCAGTGCCGTGGAGTCTTTGTCTGAAGAGTGATGGGAATGAGGGTTAAAGTGCAGGCATGCATGTGAGTTTGGAATGTTGGCTGTGATGGAATAGGGAGTGAAGGGCCCTAATTGAAACATTATTCCTCCTACTTTCTACTGTTGGCAGGATCTTATTACGGGAAACAGATTTAGGGTTTTCTTGATCATTCAGTGTGGAGGTTGCAGGGGTAAGAGTAAAGTTGGGGATAGGGAGTTCTCACTGCTTCCTGTGGAAGAATGGGAGTAATACTATTAAAGAAAAAAAATTGTTGTAACAAGTCCCTAGAAAACAAGGGAAGAAAATGATAGGATTTTGCCCCAGTACAGAACTTGAAGTTTGTAAAGATCATGAAGTTTCTGCAAAGGTCTTAAAACTCTCACGTGGGTTGTTAAAAGGCCTGTTAGGTGATAAGCATGTGGTTCCAGAGCCTGATTTTGTGGTTCTTCCATATTGGCTGTTGATCCTAGCGTCATTGAAGGCTATCATGGCTGACTGTTGCCAGTTACAGCTCCCTTGCTTAAGAATATAGACGCTGTCACCAATGGGCCACTCATGAGAAGTGAGTTTGAGGTAGTGCTTCTCAAAAGAGCAATGCAATTCCTCTGTGGGTAGCTGTTGGGAAGGAAGACTACATCAGTTACTGCCCCCGTGTGTCCCAGGGATTTAGAGTCAGCACTCTGGCATGTTTTCCTTTAGTTCTTGACTCTTCTCTTTCTCTCTGAAGTCTCTTCCCAATAGAAAAGAGACTTGAAATTAAGTTAAATTCTCAAAATTTTAAAATTCAGTCTTAGTAATGAGATGACTCTGAAGAGCAGGATAGGCCTAATGAAATATAATTCTAACTGGAATTTTTTTCTTTAAAATACAGATAACTCTGTGTATTTCAGAGTAATGAGAATTATCATAGGGAAAAAATCCGAAGATAATGCCCAGCCCCTCTTTTAGTGAGAATGTCAGCTTTTTACTTCACTAAATATTTTACTACAGCTATCATAAAATTGAGAGCTTTGTTTTTTATTTCCTTTCCTCTTTTCCTATACTGCCTGGTAGAGATGTGGAGACATGGTCAAAATATAGCAAGTAGCAGTGAGAGGGGCTGATAATCAATACATGAACTAGTCTGAATAGTTAAATGTTGGGTGTAATTGGGTTAGGAAATTCAGCATTTATGTCCTTGGATTGAAGATAATTGCTTGGTGATATTTTATCAATTTTATGGGTTTTTTTTAAATTTCAGAAATCAGCAAAGCCGATGCTGAAATGCTTACCAACAACTGTAAGTTTAGAAACTTTATTATAAATTTAACACATTCACAACTATTTCTCCATCATTTTTCCAAAAAGGACCTTGAAGTACATAGTGTGGAAATCCATAGTGGTGTTTCAAAATTTTTGGATATAACAGATATCTATCTGGAATTTCTTTTTGAAAAACACTGGCCTATGAATTTTAGCATTTGTAAGGAGTTGTCCAAAAGGGTGAAATGAGAACTGATCCCAAAGAATGGACTCATAAGTGAAGACTATCATATCTGAAAAAGTTAAAATAAGCAAGATTTAAGGGAAAAAAACTTAGGACAATAAGAAATACAAAACTTGACTGTATCAAATACATCTATTATAAATTAAAAAACAGTTCTGTTCTTTTAAAATAAATTCTCTTTAGAGTATCATGAAAGTAAATATCCAGTCAATGGATATTTATGGAGTATCCATTCTCCACATGCGGCCTTATAGACAGCACTATATATGCTATGCAAGATGCAGATGCTAATGAAGCAAAGATTCCATCCTCAAGAATTTTGCAATCTACTTGGAGAGATAAGAATTATAACAAATAGATACAATAAAACTCAGTGATTGAAAGCTATTTGAGACCAAAAAGAAGATAAGTAAAAGTCACCCATACCAAGATGGAATAGGGTACCACAATAGTACATTCCAGAAAAGAAACAGCATCGCTTAGGCAATGCCTGACAATCACTGAGGAATTTCAAGTAATGTTTTAAGATATATTTCTCATAAAGCATAATCAAAGCAACCTGCTCTTGTATAAATAAATCTTTTCTTCAGGTTGTGGGAGACGACTGACCAACAGTATCATAGCAGGCAATCGAATTGTGAATGGGAAAAATGCCCTGGCAGGGGCATGGCCATGGCAGGCCAGCATGCAATGGAAAGGTCAACATCACTGTGGAGCGTCTCTGATCAGCAGCAGGTGGCTTTTGTCTGCAGCACACTGCTTTTCTAAGTAAGAGTGAAAGTCTGACTAAATGTAGGATTCTGCGTGCAGGCTATTTTGGGTAGCCTATGGGGGTTAACCTAAATGTGTGAATGCTCACCAAGTCGATATGGAATTTACAATTACCTGCATAACTGAAGGGCGGTGGATGCATTTAAATGCAACAAAGAAGGGAAAAGTGAATGGAAGCAATTCACATTTTCCAAATAGCTAGTTTGGCCTGACATTAAGTGCTTTATGGACATGATTTTATTTAATCATAATCATAATTCTGTATGGAAGGTATAATTTAACCTATTTAAAGACGAGGAAACTAGAGTTCAGAAGTGGTGATGTAACTTGGCCAAGATCATACAGTTCTTAAACAACAGAAATTGAACGTGAACTCTGGTATGTCTGATTCCAGTTATTAGGTGCTTATTTTTCTTGCCCTCCAGCGGTTTACAATCTAGTTGAAGAAATTCAAATGTGATATATCAAAGGTATAAGGCAGGGCCAGCATCATTGGCCCACTGGTTAAGTTCAGTGTGCTCTGCTTCAGCAGCCGGGGTTTGGTTCCTGGGCACAGACCTAGACTGCTCTGTTAATGGCTATGCTGTGCTGACGGTCCACATACTAAAAAATAGAGGAAGATTGGCACAGATGTTGGTTCATGGTGAATCTTCCTCAGCAAAAAAAAAAAAAAAAAAAGGTATAAAGCAGAAAAGAAAAGGGTAGTAAATGTCATGTGTAAGATACAGATATTAAGTGTATGGAAATTTGATAAAGAAAGAGCATATCTAGCTGAAGTATGAAGATATAAGATTTGATCTGAACCTAAAGATATAAGATTTGATTGCAAGGGGTGGTGGATGGGAAAGAATAATATGCATTTCGGGTTGGGAAAACAGTCTTCTTTAAATGTGTGGAGATAGAAGGACACAAGTTGTATTCTACGTATAGCAAGCAATTTGAAGTACAGATGATTTGTAAAAGGAAACATTAGAAAATATGCAAAAAAAAATTTAGTTTTATTGAGCAGGGACCTACATGGCAAGATTCTTACTTACTGAAGAAGTCTCTTTTATAAAGCACATTTGTAGGATTTGTCTCTCTGAAGCAACTTTCAAAAAGTAGTCCTTGGCGGTTGGCCCAGTGGTGTAGTGGTTAAGTTTACATGCTCTGCTTTGGCAGACCCAGGTTTTGGATCCCAGGCATGCACCTATGCACCACTCGTCAAGCTATGCTGTGGCAGCATGCCACATGCAAAATGCAGGAATATTGGTACAGATGTCAGCTCAGTGACAGTCTTCCTCAAGCAAAAAGAGGAAGATTGGCAACAGATGTTAGCTGAGGGCCAATCTCCCTCACCAAAAAAACCCCCAAAAAACAAAAAACCCAGTGGTTCATGAGCTATGGACCAACTGGTGTGAATGTTGAAAGCAGATGCTTAAGCATCACACTAGAACTTTTAAATATAAATCTCTGAAGGTCGAGTCTGAGTTGATTCTAAGGGAATGAAGTTTAAGAAATACAGCTGTTGAGCATGTGGAGTCAGCAAAGTTCTTAGAATGGAGGAAGGATTGAAGAGTGTCACAGGTACATGTAGGTCTTGAAACCTTAAAAATACTCAGCACCTGACATTTTGAGGGAAAGTAAGAATAGTTAAACAAGATGTTAGGTTCTAAATTGAAAAAGAGTTTCAGTGGGGAACTGGAGAAACTGGTCACCAAATTTAAATTAGAAGCCAAAATGCATTGACTTGGTAAATATAATAGGGTGATTGGGTAAGAACAAGTTGCAGTTTTTTGTGTATGCAGAAACCCAGAGTCTGCCACAGGCTCTTGGAACCCAGGGTGTTTGGCAATCAGAGTGATTCTGGATCCCATCCACTGAGGCTGGTCATATGATTCCTACCCAAGTCAAATGCTCAGAAACTAGATGGGGCTGAAGTAGCAGCAGAAGATGTCAGAGACTAGGTAGGAGGATTTGTGGAAGGCTGACAGCTCTAATAGTCCTTAGCGCTATTTTTATGTGACTGCAGTGTTTAAAACATCCCCATGGCAAAGACATTTTTAAATACGAGAATTTAAGTGCTTTATAGGGTTGTTTAGGAACCTCATGCCTTAGAGTTATGAGATAATAACCACTATGAACAATGTCGTGGCTCAGAAACTGAGTGTGCTTTAATTAAATTGTGTCCTCCAGGAAAAATAATTCAGAAGATTGGACTGTCAACTTTGGAGCTATAGTAAATAGACCACATATGACACGAAAAGTCCAAAACATTATTTTTCATGAAAATTATAGCAAGCCTGGGGTTCATGATGATATTGCCCTTGTGCAGCTTGCTGAAGAAGTCTCCTTTACAAAGTATGTTCGCAGGATTTGTCTTCCTGAAGCCAAAATGAAGCTCTCAGATAACGACAGTGTTGTAGTTACGGGATGGGGAACACTTTACATGAATGGTAAGTTTTTCAGTACAAGCAGAATAGCTTCATGGGAATAATTATTCAGATAAGCGATCAATCAATCACTCTGTCACACAATTAACCAATCAGCAAATATACTGAAAAGAAAACCAAGTGGTGAGACCAACACATGGCATTGTCTTCAATTTCTAAAATTTCTCTGGGAATGAGATTTGGAAAAATTGGAACGATGTGTGAGGCAGCCAGCTGTGATAAACATCAGAGACAGACCACTCTATCCTTGGGCTGGACTGGTCCTTGGTGACCAAAAGAATATGTTTTATTCTATAGATGTTCTTTGTCTCAACAAACAAGTTATGATCCCCATAATATGCAGAATTTATTGCCTTTAGGTCCCCTTCCAGTGATACTTCAACAGGCCTCTGTGAAGATTATCGACAACAAAGTTTGCAATGCTCCACATGCATTAGCTGGCTTGGTGACCGACACAATGCTATGTGCCGGATTCATGTCAGGAGAAGCTGATGCCTGTCAGGTACCTCTGGATACATTATCAAGTCATTTTATCCCCAAATACTAATTAAATGGAAGTTTTTGCCAATACAAAATATTTTTTGTGTTAATAATTACCAAATAGTAACTTCTTATTTCAACCCGAATAACAAATATTTATGAATCCCACTTACGTACCAGACACCAACCTAGATGCTGGGGATGCAGTGGGGAACACAATCCCTGCTCTCATGGAGTTTTCAGTCTAGAAATTTGTATGATGGATAATACTTACAAGGTAATAAAATAAATTTGGCCCTGTTTTCTGGGCAACCTGCAGACCTGGAATGCTGCCTCTTCCTAATCCAGAGATGCAGCAGGAGCTTCAGCATGTGCTCATGTCACCCATTCCTCAAAGGCTTCATCATGGCCCAGCTAAGGCACTTTCACCATAGTGAGGGCCAGACTCACTATAAAGTCAAATTCTGGTCTGCCCAAAACAACACTTGGCATCTGTAGGCAATATATTTCGGTTTGTCCTGGGTTTTGAATAAATTCTAGAGTTCCACAGTTTTAAGCCTAAAGAGGGCGGATTGTTTTTAGTGTCCAGGGGCTATTGGTAACTCCAGAGGAGAGGTAAAAGAAATTATTTGACAGGACAAGAATAATTTTTTCCCTTTTTCTTCTAGAATGATTCTGGTGGACCACTAGCTTACCCTGACTCTAGAAATATCTGGCACCTTGTTGGAATAGTAAGCTGGGGTGAGGGATGCGGTAAAAAGAACAAGCCTGGTGTCTATACTCGAGTGACTGCTTATCGTGATTGGATTACCTCCAAGACTGGACTCTGAAAGAAAAGCAACTTTGGAATGCAACATATGGACAACTGGAGCGTATTCTCATCTGTTGCTTCAAAATCTTTTTATTTTGATTGTTGGCATGCCAATCATTTTCTTATATACAAGTCCATAAAGGTCTTTACCAATATTTCATTATATCTAAAACACTGCACGTACATTTATTTATCTATTTACTAATATAGGAAATTAAGGAAAAAAGATGGTCAAAATATTTTTGTTAATTACCTAGTTCTGATTTCTCTTACCATTTTTTCAGAATTGACCTTAATTTATTTTTCAGAATTTAAAAAAATACACATTATGTTAATATGAGAATATATATGCTGGATCTACGAAACAAATTACTTTCCATTCTATAAATTATCACTGTGTTTTGTTAGACTGGAATATGTAAGATAAATAATGTATGTTCAATTTTTATTTACATGTGAGGTAGTTTGTATGCCTCAGAAAACCACACAGTCTTGGAGTGGAGAAAGGATATCAGAGGTTCAGCTAGACCAAGTCTCTCAATTTGTAGATGAAAAATTACTTGCTTAAAGTCACTCTTCAGCTTCTCTGATAAATTGTAACCCTCATGTGAATTTCCCCATAGAGTTTAGATCCAAAATTAGTCAGGAATTTAAAAATGATTTCTTTTTCTTCTTCTCCCCAAAGCCCCCCAGTACATAGCTGTATATTCTCGTTATAGGTCCTTCTGGCTCTGCTATGTGGGATGCTGCCTCAGCATGGTTGATGAGTGGTGCTAGGTCTGCACCCAGGATCCGAGCTGGTAAAATCCTGGGCCGCCAAAGTGGATCGCATGAACTTAACCACTCGGCCATGGAGCCAGTCCCTAAACATTATTTTTAAGTTGCGATTATTTATATAACACTTTTCTTCATGTCTTTCTTTAGTCATTTGTTTGCCTTCTCTCAGTGCAAAAATAATATGAGGTCCTCAAGGGCAGGCTCTTCTTACAGTGGGCATGCAGTTGTATGGAGGGCTGACTTTGTAATCTCTGCAAATAATTTTCCTTTTGTAATTTCCTAAAATAAAAACAGTAGCTAAAAATTTGAAAAGCAGCTAAAATAAACTAAAAAAAATACTCCTTCCTTCAATTGTTTGTGATGTTACTCTTATTCTTTCTTTATTATAAAGTATGGCTCAAGTGACATGCATAATGATATCAAGCCAAACCATAACCAGGTGTGACAAGGTGGTGTTTCTCTCTCTCTACTCCTTTCTCAGTCAGGTCATACTTACTTTTTAACACCTAGTGTTTTCAAGGAACTGTCAGGTATAGACACAGAATCTCCTTTCAAGGATGCTGTATTTAGTGGATAAAGCCAGGCAGTAAACATATAAATAAGAGAATTTTTGATTGTGATAAATGTTATGAAAGAAATAAAAAGTAATATGATAGAAAGCAGTGAGGCGATGAGGAGTACTAGAGATTGAGCAGTCTGAATAACCTCTCACAGAAAGTAGTATTTGAACTGGACCTAAGTGATGAAGAGGCAAAACATATGAAACATCTGAGAGAAGAGAAATTCAAAGGGAATTGTAACATCTTTGAGACAGAAATAAACGTTGTGGATGTGTGGGCAGAAACAAGACTAGTGTGACTGAAGCCTGGTGGGGAAGTGAGAGATTGTAGGAAACAATGGGAAGAGGTAGCTGGGGACCAAGTCAAATGGGGCTTTGTAACGACCTTGGATTTTATTTTAACTGCACTGGGAGACCCTGGAGTTTTCTAAGCATAGGAGTGAGTGAGATGATTTAATATATACTTCGAGAAGATTGTTTTAGCTTTGACGAAGAGAATGCGTTGGTGGGGGGTCGGGGAGAGTGGTAAAGAGAACAGGATGAGAAGGAGAAAGACAGGTTAGAAAGCTATGGCAGTTGTCCTGGTGAGAAAGGAACACATATTCACCATTTTCCTTGGGTCAAGAACTTACCTAGGTGGGATAACAGAAGGAATCCTTTTATAATGCAACTCAAAATGGAGAAAAAAAGATAGAGCCTCTTTTAGTATAATACTACTACTAAGAGTTGTGAGAGGTATTGCTGGCTGTGTAATAGTCTCCCTGTCTTGTCCATACTTAATTCAGAAGCCAGATATTCAAGAACTTAGTTCCTTCTTCCCCAACCTCATGAGCACGGTGTCTTAGTCAGCTTGGGCTACTATAACAAATTACCATAGACTGAGTGGCTTAAACAACAAACATTTATTTCTCACAGTTCTGGAGGCTGGGAAGTCCAGGATCAAGGTTCCAACAGATCTAGCATCTGGTAAGGTCCTGCTTCCTAGTTTTCAGATGACTGTCTTTGTTTTATCCTCTCAGGCTAGAGAGCAGAGAGAGGCAATCTCTTTCTCTTGTGTCTCTTCTTATAAGAGCACAAATCTCATCATGAGGACTCTGCCCTCATGAGCTAATTATCTCCCAAAAGCTCCATCTCCAAATACCACCATTAGGGACTAGGGTTTCAACACATGAATTTTGAGGCAGCACAAACTTTCAGTCCACAGCACATAGATCTGTCTTTCTCCTGCTTTTTCCAGGGGCAAAGCAGATGGAACTGAATGAGTGATGACTCCAGTACAGAAGTGATGGGAAGTGTTGGGTTTTGTTTCCTTGTGCAGTCTCTAATTAACCAATTAGCTTTGGCTTTAACAAGGGACTTTTAGTCATGACTTTCTGTTCAAGGATTGTATTTACAATAGAAACATCTCCAACCTATCAGTGGATGGAAACTAGATCTTTTAACTCATAATTTAGTATCTTGTTTAGGAACACAGACTTTCATATTAATGCATTCAAGTTTTCACTGAAAAGTGAGCCAGAGAAGAGAAGATAAAGTGATGCAAAATTTAGAGAATTATTTTGTTTATATTTTTTAATTTAATTTAATCTTAGATATAGGCCTAATGGCCCAAAGCCCATTGTAAACTCTATTCCATTGGCTGAAATTTTTTTTGCATAGCTCACAAATATCTTCATGTTCTGCTTACTGAGCTTATATACTATGATCAACCATGACATATACACCCACTGCCCTTGCCCCTTTCTCTGTTCACTAGCTAGCCTGGCAAAACCACAAACTTGATTACACACCACTCTCCAACTTCCTGGTGCATGGATCCTAGTTGCTGACCATAGCTGGAGTAAAACATACACCATGCTGACCAATCTCACTTTAAAATCATGATCACAAACCTCAAATAGGTCCATAATGCTCCCTGAAAATCCTTTTGCACTTCCCTAGTAAAGCTCCCTCTCTTTCTCCTAAATAACTCATTCACTCCTCTTCTCTCCTTAACTCCAACAGTTTCTTCTTTTTATACTCAACTGATAATTTTGCTCATGATTTCACCAAGAAAACAGGAAGAATCAGATGAGAGTTTCTACTAGTACTTACTATAAAAATCCATTAACCCACTTGCTTCTTGAAAGACAGTATAGGTAAGTGAACTCTAGTGCTAAACTGCCTGTGTTCAAATCCTAGCTTGACCACTTACTAGATGTGTGACCTTGGGCAAATTATTGACATGACTGTCATAGCTTCCATGATGTTCCATGGGGATAGGAATAACATCTACTTCATGGTGTGATTGTGGAGTTTTGAAGGAGTTAATCAATGGAATGCACTTAGAATAAATAGAAGATGAGTGTTAGCTATTACTGTGATCTGTCTTTCCTTTTGTTACAATAGATCAACTTTTGGATCAACAACAATCTAAAGCCAATCTCTCCACTTATGGTGAGATCCTATCTATACTCACAATCTCAAGAACTTTGTTTCCATAACTGTCACCTAACCCTCTTAAATTATTCATCTTACCCTCTCTATTGGATCATTTCCAAAGACACAGTAATTCTATAATATTTCCCAGATAAAAACAAAGGGCTTTTTTTAGCCCTACATCTCCTTCCTGCCATATTTCTCTGCAAAACTGGCTGAAAGTATTGTCTCCACTTCTTTTCCTTCCATTTTTTGTCAGACTCACTCTAATCAGGATATTGAGTCAGACGCTCCTCCAAAACCACATTTGTCAAGGTCATCAACAAATTCCATGTAGTCAACTCCAATGCTCAACTCTCAATCCTCCTCTTACTAAACCTATCAATAGCATTTAGTGCTATAGATCGTTCCCTATTGAAACACTTTCTTTACTTGGCTTCCAGAAAAGAGAAAACAACAATAATCTTTGTTTGTCATCAGTTATTCCTTCACAGTCTCTTTTGCTGGATCTTCTGCATCTTCTTAAACTCTAAATGTTAGAGGGCCCCAGAGCTCAGTCCTCAGATCGCTCCTGTTCTCTACTTACACCACTACCGTGGATGACCTTATCCAGTCCAGGATGGCTCCTCCAAGATGTATCACTCTGGTATGCAGATTATTTCAAGTACTTAAGTACTGTACTTCAATACCAACTATTTGCTGACTATTCCCAAATGTTTTAGCGTTAGCTTGACTTCTCCATGGATCTCCAGTTGCATATACCTAAAATTTCTACTTGAAGGTCTAATGGGGAATTAACATTAGTGTGTCAAAACAGAATTCTTCATCTTTCCTCGGTCTTCCATATCTCAAAAAATATGATCCTAGAGTTATCTTGGGTAATAGATATTTGAAATATTATCCTTTGTTATTTTTGTTATTGGATTTTATGAAAGATTTGCAACTGGACTGAGAAAGCTCTATCTTCATATCTGGAAATGCCTGGATTCTTAGCTTTGACACTTGGCCAAAATAGGGCCAGTGGGATTTATGCGAGGTTTAAAGTCTAAAAGTATCCTGCAAACCCCTGGACTAGTGTGTTTACTGATCCTAGATCCTGCTGGGAACTTCTGCCTTGAGCTTTCTTGAAGTTAACAGATTTTGGTGGTTCAATCTTGACACAAAATGTGTATGTGTGTGAATAAGGACTGTGGGGAGCTTGTATCTGTATATCTTTTGGTCTCCCAACATTTGCCTGTACTCCCTTTATGTACTGTATCCTTTGTTTTAAATAAAAGCTTTTTTAAGTATTCCCTATGGAATCTTATGAGTCCTTTCAAATATGCAAACCTGTGAAATCTTTGCAAATTTTAATATTTAAAATGAAGCAATGGTGTGCTGAAGCTGGCTTGCACCAATGTA